CAGGAGCAGAAACCTCATCTCTGGGTGGGATGGGAGAGACATGAGGTGCTGCTGTAGGATGCCTGTAGCAGTGAGTGGTCCAATGCCACTCTGTCCCTGGCACTGTGCCACGGTTTGTGGGCTTTGTGCCATCCTGGTGTCACAGCAGCCCAAAAAAGTGGGAAATGAGGATGCTCAGGGTGTCACAGCTCTGCTCAGCGCTGGATCCAGGGCTCATCCCAGCACCTTTCCAGTATTTCCACAGAGCATGGGCTGGGAGAAGCCACTTGGCTGCTCTGACTCTCTCCCCCAGCCCCCCACAGTCCCCACATCCCAGCAAGACCCTGAGCAGCAAAATAATCACTTCCAGCATCATTATCCATCGCAAACCCCAGCTTCCAATTTTAATCAGAGGAGCTGGTGTTGCTTTAAGATCTGCGGGTTTTAAAGATCACAAGAGGGGTTAGAGAAAATTACCCTTGACTCTTACATGCTAATGTAATCTCTAACCAGATCTGCAGCACTGCAGCTAAAATTGCTTTTTAGATTAACATTTAATTATTAACAGGGCCCCCTGAAAGGCCTGGGGCTGGAGCACGCGGAGGGGAGCGGATTAGCCGGGCGGGATGAGGGAAGGTCGGGCGAGGGAAGGTCGTGGGGTGACCTTTGGTGACAAACTTCGGGTTTTATTTTACCTGATGCTCCCCGTGGTTCACAGTGGGGTGACCTTTCTGTGCTCACTCCTTGCAGGGCTGAGCTGTAGCGTCGCTGCATCCCCTCCACCCTAAATCTGGATGGGAGATGAGAGTGGCAGTGCCAGGCAGCAGCACCAGCCAAAATCCTGCTCGCTCTGCAATGGGTGAGCATCCACTGTGTGCAGAGAGGAATTCTTCCTCCTCTGGCACCTCCTCACCCTCGGCATGGGATGAGAAATCAGTGTCCGTGGGACCAGTGGTGGTGGCAGTGACGGGGAGCTCCGATGTCCCCGGGGCTGTGAGGGAGGGGAGCTCCCTGCTGGTGTGGCTGGATTCTCCTCCATCTATGGAGGGATGAGGGACAGGGATGTTCCCAGTTGTACTCTTCACACCAAGGGCCAGTGAGGGCTTTTGCTTTGTCTCTCTGGTTGCTGCCAGCCTTGGCCTTGCCCCGTGCTGTCCGTCTGTCTGTCTGGCACTGTCAGGAGCCTCCTGTGCCTCTCCCAGCCGGGGTCACCCCTCACCTCCTGTCCTTGTGCCAAACCCAGTGCTGGCTTTTGATAGCCAGGGGAGATACAGCCATGGTGTGACCCAAACAGCTTTGTAGCATCTCTGGTCCCACGCCCCTTTCCTCTCCCAACCTCAAAAGCTCTCTTTTGATGGGATTGCACCCCAATAACACCTGGGGAAGGATCTGGACGTGTTCCACCACAGCCTGGATAGTGACCAAGACCTTGTCCCTCACCGTCCCCGCCCTGCCACAGCTCAGCAGCCACACAGACCCACTTCAGGCTGAGACTTTAAAAGTTCCTTTTTTCTTTTCTCCCCCCTCCCATCACATTTTCTTTTATCTAAATCCTCGCCTGCAAAAGCCTCTATCGACAGCTGCACTGGCCTTATCTCGCGGGAGGGACCTTCGCAGGGCTCTCGGAGGAGATAAGCCTGACTTATCAGCTGCTGATGTCAGAGGAGGTGCCAAACCCTCCCATCACTGGGGCTTTAGACATAGAGGGTGGTGTTTTTTATTAAAGTCACAAAGACCTTGGGCTTATAAATAGTGTGATGTCGAGATGGATTAGCTGGGTGTGGGGCAGGATGGAGTGGTGGGAGAGGGGAAGGATGGAGTTGTGGCTCCCCCATCCCTGGAACTGTTCAAGGCCAGGTTGGACAGGGCTTGGAGCAACTTGGGATAGTGGAAGAGATGCCTGTGCATGGCAGGGAGTGGGAGAGAATGGGCTTTAATGTCCCTTCCAACCCAAACCATTTGGTGATTCTGTGATGCCAGAGTTGTGGGATATGGGGTTGGGGCTCCTAGGGGACCTTGCTCCAGATGTCCCCAAGGGACCCCACTGTTGGTGGGACTCCCCCTGTGCCCCAGTGCTGGGTGATGGTGGGTCCACGTGCACAACCTGGGCAGAGGCCGTGCGGACTCGGGGCATTCCAGCAAAACTGCTGAGTGTTGCCTTCCCTGCCACGAAAGAGCCAGAGCAGCTTGAACTAAATCGGATCCTGCTGATTGGAATTAGTTCAAATGCAGATGGAGCTAACTAAGCCGGCGCTAAGCGTTGGACAGCCCAGCGCCCAATTCCCATCAGCTGATTCAGGGGCTTTTCGGAGCGGCATTAGCGAAATGCCACCGTGGCACAGATGCCCATTGTGCCAGGCGCCCACCCGCTCGCCCACGGGCCTTCTGGGGCTCGGGGCTCCCAGCAGGGTGTTGGGGTGGACAGATGGACGCTGTTCTGGGGTCGTGGCACCAGAGCCTCCCCGGTTCTGAGCGTGCCTGTGAAGGTGGGGTGAGGAGCAGCGTAGCTGTCGGAAAAATCATCTGGGCTGCGAGACGCCGGGAGACGGGGGCAGCAGCAGGGTCTGAATTAATCGGTGGCTTTATTCAGTTTGGCGTGTGGCTCCCGCGCCTCTCCCGCCTGCTGCCGGTGATGATCCAAGCCCAGGGTCGGGATGGCTCCAGGAGGGAGCTGGGCTGTGCGTGGCAGGGCGCAGAATCGTGGGGACAACCTGTGCCAGCATGGCGGTGTCCCCAGGGCTCTGCTGGGCCCTCAGGGTGCCCTCAGCTCCTGTGGCAGGCTGCATCCACACCCTCCCTGTGCCAGCACATGGGTTTGGTGACCCCCTGGGTGCTTTCTCCTCGCTCTCAGCCCCGCGTGCCCCAGGGACCAGCAGGGACCTGATCCGCATCCGGCAGCGGCACGAGCCGCCCACGCCGCCCGTGTCTGCCAGGGACACGGGTCAGTGTCCCCGCGAGGAGCTGCCTCGGCGCAGGGAGTGGGTGACGTCCGCCGCTAATCGGCCAGATGGTGACACCCGGCAGGACGCCAGCCCTGAGGTCACCGCAGAGCTCAGGCTCAGGTACGGCAGCAGCCGGTGCCATCATCCATCTCCTGCACGGCCGTGGGTGCTTTGATCCGGGGCCACCCTTTGGCGACAGGGACAGGGATGGGGATGAGGTCGGGGTGGCAGCTCCCGTCGTGGAAAATCCGGGCGCCGGGCACGTTCCGGGGGAGCCGAGGCGCCGGGAGCGGGGCTGCGTAATGAACCCCGAGTCCCGGCGGAGAGAGGAGAACTCCTGGCAGTCAAGTGCGTTCAGGCTCTGAATAAGAAGCACTTCATTCTCTTTTCAAATTGTATAATTTCTGCCTGATTGTAATGGCATATTTTAAAATTACCAGAAATCGAAGCCAGAAAATGGATACGGCTGCTTTTACTGCGAGCTGCGTTAACAAAGGATATGTAATGCATGAAATAAAAACACCTCCCTGCCCCCCTCCTTTTTTTTTTAAGACAGTAATAGGAGAAAATTGGTTTTGAAACTGAATAAAAGTCCCTTTCAGAGGAAATCATTTCTTTCAGGGTACCTTTGCTGAAAGTAAAATAGTGAATAATGAAAGGTGGTTACATGATTGTCTTTCATTTAGAGAGCGCGAGGACAGATGGAATCTGGGAGAAATGCACGATTGGAATAATTGCATGGTAACAAGGCGCTTGTTGTGAAATTAGTATCTTAAGAAAGTAGTGAAAAAGGCTTTTACTCATGAATACTTCATTATTAGGAGAAAACAGCACAATTTGGGTTCTCCAGACACCTGCTCGGTATTAGATGACTTCCTCCCCTCCTCCTCCTCCTCCTCCTCCTCCTCCTCCTCCTCTTCCTCACACCTTTTTGCCGACGAATTGCTCCTTGTCCCTGGTTTGCTGGGGGAGTCAGGGTGAGACCCTGAGCCTGATGAGCCCAGCTGAGGCATGGGCACCCTGCATGGATCCCATCCTGGGGATTATCCCAGAGCCTGGCACCCTCTGCGTGGTGGAGGGCACAGAGCAGGAGCGAGCAGCACAGGTCCCGTTGTGTGTGCCCATGGTGACATTTAAACCAGCAGAGCTTGGAGAGCCCCGGGCACAGCTCAGGGAGCATCAATCCATACTTTATTTCCTTGTGCTGATGGTCACGGGCTCTGCCAGAGGCCACCACGTGCCTGAGGCCACCGCATCATTCCCTGCACGCCCACGCCAGCACTGGGACATGTGGGAAGCATCCCGGATGGCTGCAGGAGGGCACAATTCCCCCACAACGGAGAGGATGGAGTGATGTACCCAGCTGTGACACCCATCCATGATGTCCAGTTGTGACCCCCAGCCACCCATGAACATTCAGCCAGAGAGCAGCAGCGCAGGAGCTGAAACGCTGGCGGATGGGCACCACGCCTGCTTCTCTGCTGCTCCTGCCCACGTCTCCCTGCCCTCTCCGAGTGGGAATATCGCTCCCTGCGCCAGCTGGAGCAGTGGGAGGGTGTCAGCAGCAACTGGTTATAACTCAGGGCCCCGGCGGCGGCTGGGGAAGGATGTACAATGAGCAGCACCGTGGTGACGACGACTTTGGCCTGACCCCTCCAGCTTTTGTCAAGCGGATTTTGATGCCAGCTGGGAGCTGGCGGCAGATCCCAGGACCCCGAGTGGGATGTTAACACTGTCTTTCCCCAGCCTTGGCTGGGGTCACTCCGTGCCAGGAGGCACCGGCTGGCACGCCAGCGGAGCGGTCTGGCACCGCCGCGACGCCCCGGCTCCGCCACATTCCCGGTGGGAAGGGCGGAAAGCTCTGCAGGAAGCGCAAATCACCCGCTGAGACCTTCATATTTATTTTATATACATCCCTATTCATTTCAGGCTTTCAGAGTTAGTTGTTTATCTCCAGAGGAGCGAAGGCACTGAGTGCTGGGGAGCTCCTGCCGGGTGGGCACGGGGGTGGTGGCACGGGGTGGTGGCAGGGGGTGGCAGGTCCCTGGCTCACCGTGTGTCTCCTCTCTCGCAGGGCACGGGGCGGCAACGCCCGCAGGGAAGCCTGGACCATGCTGGCCTGCCTGCAGAGGACCCAGAACCCCCCAGCCCAGCACCTCCCCTGCCCCAACAAGGCGCTGGAGCCACGCAAGTGTAAGTGCCCGGGGGCGGGCGCCCGCTTTGATGCTGTTTCCCTTATTGAAAAAGACATTTATTTAACCGATAATTAAAAAGAGCAGGAGAAGCGGGGAGGAGAGGGGGAGGAAGGAGCCAAGATAAGCAAATTAAATTGGGTTCTGTGGTTGATAAGTCCAACTTCAGCAAATGTTGCAGAGCTGCCTGGGAAGCGTGGCGGCAGCAGAGGATGGTGCAGTCGGCCCCCCAAACCTCCCCGGCCCTTCCCCCCCTAATTACTTTCCCCGTTTGTGCTGCAGCTCGCCTTCCCCACGAGCTGGCCTTTCAGATAAGCTGTAAACTAGTTACATTAAAATGGGATCCAAAAGGTCACTCCGGCAAAGCACCTGTCTCTCCCAGCCTTTGTCTCTCAATCCAAACCATGATTAAATGTATATTTAATGAGCCTGCTTTAGGCAGGCGTGTTTGACCTCCCCGGCTGGGAAAGACGCATTAAGATTCTCAAGTGATGAATGTGTGTTTTAAAGAGGGGAGTGGATATTTTTCTGCTGGTCTCAGTTGGATTTTTAAACATTGCCGGCTGAAGACAAATCAGCTGCTAAAGCTCTGCTTGTTAGGCTGTGACAGCCCCCGGGTGTTTGTTTAATGAGCTGGATTTTCCTGTAGATGTTTTTTTTCCCCTCTACCTGAGCACCCTGAGCAGCCAGGTGAGCTGGGCATGGGGTTTGGGCAAGCTGGGCATGGATTTTGGACGATGTTCAGCCTCTCTGGGGACCCCCAGCATCGCTTCACCATTGCACTGCCAGCCAGGAGGGAGGTTCTTTTATCCCTGAAACTTATCATGTTCATGGCCATGGATAGGGCTTGGAACAGAAGGTGTGCCTGCCCATGGCAGTGGGGGAAGTGGGTGATCTTTAAGGTCACTTCCAACATAAACCATTCTGGATTCCATGATTTTTTGTGTGAAGCTCTGAAAAGCACAGGGAATAGGACACCCAGGCCAGAGGTGGGGTTTTGGGCACCCAGGTGTCACAGTGCAGCTTGTACTGCACTGGAGCATGCAGTGCCTCCCAGGTTTCCTCCTTATTGGTGTCTTGGAAGGAAAAAAAGGATGCTGCTGTTGTAAAATTATTCGTAATCCGTCACGCCTGAGCATCGCGGCAGCACAGGGCTGGCGAGAGGTGTCCAGCTCCTGGAGCACCTCGTTGCCATGGAATAATGAGCCCAGCCATGCCCACATGGTCTGAGACCCACAGGCAGGATGAGCCTGACAGGGTTTTCTGGCGAAAAACTGCAGGTGTTCAGCGTTGAGAATCTCTGTGTGAGCTTGTTGTGCTCCTGGGGTCAGGATACACCTGCTTGTCCCCACAGCATTCCCAGCAGAGCTAAGGAGCATCTCAGCTCATGGAACAAACCCCAGAGGCACCTTCCTGCTGGGGGACTGGTGCTTTCTAGCATTTCCCACCCTGCCATAGGTGCTGAAATAAGGAGGGTTTGGGAAGCAGGAGCCCTTACGTGGTGTCACATACGGTGCCATGGGTGTGAGAGATGCTCCTAGATACAGCTGCCTGTGTCCTGGGAGGGTCCCAGCCCCAAGGTCCTGGTGGTCCTGGAGTTGTGCCAGTGGGATGAGGACAGAAGTTTGACCCCACCCCAGACCCTGGCAGCGCGGGGTACCCAGGAGACAGAGACTGGTCTCACCTCATCCCTCAGGCAGGGCCGTGCTCACCTGAGATCTCCAAGAGAATTGTGTCCCCCCAGGATGGGTGGCAGCAGCCAAGCTCCTGCCCAGACCCCCACGCTGCACTCACCACCGGCTGCCACCAGCCAGGTCACCTTAATCAAAGTTTAGCTGCCCGTATGTTTCCGCTCATTATGGGCAAATCCGGCACGTCTCGCTCCTCTCTGCCTCCTGCCAGCACAAATTAAATTGCAGGTGACATCCAGGGCCACGCATCTGGCTTGGAATACAATTTCCCCTTCCTTATTTATGGCACCTGTGGGAGGCACAGTGGAGGGGCTGGGAGCTGGCACAGGGCTGAGCTCCCGCCGCCACCGGAGCGCCCGCGCGGGGAATCGGCGCGGAGAGCGCGCTCTTCAAACCAGGCGCAATTTAGAAGTGCCTCTGATTACTTAATTTGCTCCTGAGTATCTCAGTAATTATCTTTATGGGTCTTATTTCTGTCCTCTGGCATTGTTTCTGTCGATATTAAATGAGTCTGGCTCTCGGCACATTGGCCGTCTGGCCCGGCACCACTGTGAAATCCTATTATCCTGCCCGCGCCGCTGATTAATTTTGGTATTAATTTCACGTAAAAGGTGAGCTGACTCATTTTCCTGCCCATGCAGGGAGCTGCTGGTGCCTTCACCCCCCGGTTCTGCCCCTGGCCTTTCCTGCTGAGTGTTGTCCCCCCCATCTCTGTGTCCCCCACATTGGTGTGGCTGCATCCCAGCGGGCCTGGAGCATCCCACAAAATCCATCCTGATAGAGCTGGAGGTGACTTTGCTGCTGTTGCCTGCGGTATTCCCAAGGCTGTTCTGTAGGAACCAGCCTGGCATGCCTTGAGGAGGGTGCAGGAAGGTGCCAGAGCCCTTCCAGCCCTGCCTGTGCCTCCCTCCTCCAGCAGAGGAGCCTGCAGAGCAGCAGCATCCTCAGGAAAATATCACGTCCAATTAACTCCAGCAGCCTGGTCCCTTTTGATTTTATCCTGGGCGCATTACAGGAATCCTGAGCTTTATTTAAATTATAAATCAAATAATGCCCCTCTCAGCTTGGCCAAACTCTTTGCTGCTCCCACTCTCAGCAGTCACGGAGCAGTGGATGATATTTAATGAAATGTTATATTCCATGTGCCCTCCTCCAGCCAGCCTGGGGCTGGGAGTGTGGCAGGGAGCAGGATGTGTGTCCCCCTAAAGGGGCTGGGAGCCATGGGGAGTTCACAGAGGTGAACCTTGTGAGCATCCTCTGTGGCCTACAAGAAAGATGGAGAGGGGTTATTTACAAGACTGTGGAATGGCAGGATGAGTGGGAATGGCCTCACAGTGCCAGAGGGAAGGGATAGATGGATTTTGGGAAAAAATTCTTCCCTGTGAGGGTAGAGAGGCCCTGGCACAGGGTGCCCAGAGCAGCTGTGGCTGTGCCATCCCTGGAAGTGTCCAAGACCAGGCTGGACAGGGCTTGGAGTTACCTGAGAGAGTGGAAGGTGTCCCTGCCCATGGCAGGGGGTGGCACTGGATGAGCTTTGAGGTCCCTGCAGCCCAAACCAGCCTGGGGATTCTTTCACCATTCACATCCTCGATGCCAGGGGTCCCATGGGAGCTGTCACCTCAGCCCCACGGGGACAGTGTGATAAATGGCTCTTTGGGGGTGGCACAAACCCTCCCGGGGCCCATCTGGGTATTTAAACACTAACGAGGGGATGGCCCTAATGAGAGGTGGTGGCCAGGGCTCCCTGCCTTTAGGGTCACCCACAGCTCTCCCTGCACCTGTGGGGACTCTCATCAGTGATAAACCAGTTAATTGCACACGGGATGAGGCCCCATTTAATGGCCTCTCGTTACCCAATTCTGCTTGTTCCAAGGGCATTTTCATTAGAGTGGCTGCAGCGAGGCTTTTCTTTTGTACACACCCATAAAATATCATTTTAATTTCATGAGGGGTTACACATGAGTGAAGTAAGATTAATTCTTTCATTTTCAGTTTCTGGAAGGGATCGGTTAATGATGGTTCTGTGTATTTATATACGTGCCATAAAAAGGAGTTCAATTAACTGCTGGGCCCAAAATGTGCTGTTCACTTGCACTTTCCCTGCCAGGAATCGCTGCAAAAACACTTTTCCATTGGTCATGTGTGGAGAATGAGGTGGGGCTGCTCAGTGCCCGTCTCCTGCCAGGTCAGAGCCCTGGATTTGGGGTGGGCTTGGCTGGAAATGGTGCAGTGCACGAGGAGGTTTGGTTTGTGTCCAAACTTCCCAGGATTGTGATGGCCCATTGGCCACAGAGCAGGTTCCTGGGCACTGGCAGACCCCAGGATGGGGCGCCCTGCTTTGGAGGTGCCCACCCTGCTCCCCTTGGCAGATACAGAACCCGTGTCTTAAATTAATTAAAATATTAATTGGCTGTGGATGAGTGAGCAGAGGGGCTGGGGGCAGCTGGGATGAGCTGCAGGGCCAACAGAGGTGGTGGGGTCCCCTCCTGCTCCCGGGATCCCTCGGAAGCTCTGTGGTGAAATGGCATCAGGGCTTCTGAAAGGTGGCACTGGCATGGCATTGGGGTGGCAGTTGTGTTGGGTGGCCTCAGAGTGCCTTTGGGGTGGCTTTTTAGGGCTCTGTTGGCTTCAGATGGGTGGCACTGGGGTGGCAGCTGTGTTGGGTGGCCTCAGGGCTGTGCTTGGGCAGCGTTGGGTGACACACAGGTGACATTAGGGCAGTATCATGGTGGTGCTGAGGTGGCACTTGAGTATCACGAGGGTGGCACTGGGGTAGCATCAGGATGGCATTGGGGTGGCAATGGACTGACAGTGGGACAGCATCAGGATGGCATTGGGGTGGCACCGGACTGACAGTGGGACAGCATCAGGGTGGCAACGGACTGACAGTGGGACAGCATCAGGATGGCACTGGGGTGGCAATGGACTGACAGTGGGACAGCATCAGGATGGCTTTGGGGTGGCACTGGACTGACAGTGGGACAGCACCAGGATGGCTTTGGGGTGGCACCAGACTGACAGTGGGACAGCACCAGGATGGATTTGGGGTGGCAATGGACTGACAGTGGGACAGCACCAGGATGGCATTGGGGTGGCACCGGACTGACAGTGGGACAGCACCAGGATGGATTTGGGGTGGCACCGGACTGACAGTGGGACAGCACCAGGATGGATTTGGGGTGTCACCGGGGCATCTTCCCGCAGTGGCACGGTGGCTGTGGTGGCACAGAGCACGGTGCCTGTGCCGGGCTAATACCTCGTGGAGGAGACAAATGGGAAGTGACACGTGTGTGTGTAGACGGGTATTTGT